AAATTGAACCAATATTTGTCCAGATGAATTGACAAAGCTGCATAAACTGCTAAATATTTAGCATGTATGCATGTTGAATGCAATTTGACTATAGAGATCAGTTGTCACCCACAGAGCTATGACTGACATTGGTGGTAATCTAAAGTGTTTTAAACCCATCCATTAACTCTATTATAATTAACTATTTTTAGTATACAGAATTTTGCTTTATGCTAAAATCAGTTGACCGTTGCAAGTAGACTAAAAATTACATGAACCACTAACCAAATTGAGCTCTTGCATACCAAATCAGGAGTCCGTGAGGCAGTGACCATTAACTTTCTCGATGGTTGTGTTTTTTTTTTGGTTTTAAATGTTAATTTTGTAATGGTATCTATTAGAGGTGCACCAAAATAAAAAATTTTGAAACCGAAATTAAGTCTGGCTGAAACTCAAAATGTATTTTTTTTTTTTATATTTTAGCTTTAAATTTTTATTTTATTTTACTGCTGGGGCTTCGGTAAAATATCAGACTCCTGATATTTCCCATTTACAATAGAAAGGAGTTCTCAATCTCTTCTGCATCACCGTTGTATGAACAGGAATCCTCTCTACTGTACTGAGTGTTTTCATGTCAATGACATTTTAATTGTAACCAAGTCTTTATGTATGTATTAAATATACGTTTATACAAAACCATGTATGTTTGATGGACGTCTTGTATGGTTTGGACACTTTTAAAGCCCCGCTTTTCTTTTCTTGTATACTGAGTGTTCCTGTTCATAAATTGTGGAGATTGTGCACATAGTAACTCACACGATCGTGAATGAACCAGAAGTGATGTAAATTGCTTCCTATTCATTCATAACTGGTACATTGTAAATAACTACGGTAGACATAGTACGAGTTACTAACTCGCTGATCGCTGAATGTTTGTATACCGCGCCCCATCCTGGATTGGCTTTTACAGGAGGGTGAACCAGTAGTGTGGGGAGGAGAGCTCTGTCTCATTTGACAGCTGACTCCTCCCCTGCACACCCATCTCCCTGTGACGGCTGTCTCCACCCCTCACACCACTCTCCTGATCTGTCACGGGAGGCTGTGCGGTGCAGGAGGAGAGCTCCTGCGCAGTTTCTTCCTCCACACTGGATGCTAAGCTGTGTCAGAGGGGCTATGGAGCAGCACACGGCAGGGAGAGAAACTAAACCTGCACTGCAATTTCAGCCGAAAGATGGCACTTTCGGCATTTTGGCCTAAGTGCCATTTTCGGCTAATATGATTTGGAGGCCAACATTTCTGTGCATTCCTAGTGTCCATAGTTGAAATAAGACCCTTTTTTTTAATTCCAGTAGACTAAAGATGGTAAGATAGGGGCCAGCCAGATCAGGACAGTTGTGTTGTAGGCAGAAAAAGTTTTGTGCACTATATTTTGGTAGTTTTGGGCTACAGCTCTTTGGCCACATAATGGAACTTGATGCTGGTAATGGTGCATCCAGTTCTGGAACATCTACCACTATCCAACTTGAGGCTCACAGTATCTGTATTTAAGTGGCAACTAATTTTAGGAGTGATATATTGCTGGTACCTAGATAATGGGAAAACAATGGTTCTGGCCTGGAAGATTTTGTTGCACTACTTTCTGTTTACAAGTTGCATGTGACCTAGCAATGGTAAAATACTTAGTTTCAGGGAGGGGTGGGGGTTCTTTTAATTTGAAGGGATGTTAATGTAGAAAGATGAGACAAACTGGCCATCTTTTGACTGACTTTTTTTGCTATACAGCCCATCGTGAACGGGACAGAACGTTATTTAATTAAGTCCAGTGGAAACAAGACAGAGCTACGTATTCACCATCTGGACATTGAAAAGGATCAGGGTGAATATATTTGCAATGGATCCAATATACATGGTAGCAATGGAGCCACCGTTGCTCTGCGTGTGCGTAGCCGTCTTGCTGCTCTCTGGCCTTTCCTTGGCATCGTAGCTGAAGTTCTGATCCTAGTAACCATCATCTTTATCTATGAAAAGAGGAGAAAGCCCGATGATGTGCCTGAAGGTAAGATTAAATTGTTGCTCTGGTATACCTGACCGGTTCTCTGTGTCTTCATTGCATGTGAGCATCTTCTGTAGGTCTGTCTAGATATCCTTGTTGAAACCTGTTTGTGCTTTTGATTTTACTTATTTGCTGCTGGTGTAAATGGTCCAAATTTTACTTTAAATTCCTACGTAATCTCCTTCTGATCCTACTACATTCTGTTCCCTCTGTATCACTGTAGTGAACTCATTGTTTCTTTTTCTGAGCTTCTGGACATGTGAATTCTTTTGGTAAGGTGGATCTAGAGTGTTTATCCTGCTTTGCTTGATTAGATCATCAGCTCTGTTCTGTTCAACATGTTAGCAAGGCGCCTACTGCTACGTTTTTTTGTGTCTCAAATTTTGATTAATTTTTATTTTTCATTCCTAGATGACGACAGTGGATCTGCTCCTCTGTAAGTACTATATTTACACTAATAGAATGTCCAATTTTTTCTTTTTAATATTGCATAGATATTGGCATACTTTATTGCCGATATTTGCTGCTCTTCATTTCTGAAGATGTTTTGCCTTGGCTGATGCACATGTGTATTTCTACCATGTGCATCTATTTTTAGCAGTTGGAATTATCTTAAAACCTTCAACCATTTTTACACTGTCTGCAAGATACTTTGTGTCTTAAAACTACAACTATTGTACTACTCCATGCTACCTTTTAAGGCTGTTGGGTCACTTGCAGTGATGTTTGTTATGGGTTACAAATCGCATCGCACTCCCTAGAGCTTACATGCTGGTACAAATGTTGCTACATGTACTCTTTGTGGGGACTGCATTCTTTTTTTAATTACGTTTTGGACCGCCCCTTTGATCGGCTGATTCGCAGAGTGTATGGCCACCTTTTTTATTATCTGTACATTTAACAGATGGCGATAATTTAAAAATGTGTGACTGTCTGCCCCAATTATTGGTAGTTCCAATGGCCGCTCGACCCCTAATTGGTACCCGTATACTACTTCTAGCCTCACAACCCACTCCAAAACAGCCTTGCAATTTTGTCTGAATAACGTGTTAAGTCGCCACACACGTATACTGTATAGTGGTCTTTGTTTTAAAACTTGTTATACTAACATTAACTCTTTATGGGGGACAGTTCCTTTATGATGAAGTATAAAGTCTGCCATTGTTAACCTTTTTGAATGTTTTGTTATCCATAAAATGTTAGAAAATAGTTATAACAAGCTTTGTGGAGTATTAAAGAGCTCAGGGCAGAATACAATGAACCTTGCAGTGGGGCTACTACCACACTGCAAAGGTTAAGTGCTTGTTTTGGTCTACGGCAGTGGTTCTCAACCTTTCTAGGGCTGGGACCCCTTGATAACATTTGCCAAGTTGTGGTGACCCCCAGCGGTAAAATGTAGGGATGACGCGGCTGCTGCTGCGACATCTGGCAGCGTGGCGGGAGAACTGACACTGCTGCGCTAGGAGAGGGCTGAGGGGGACTCGCCTAGCACAGCAGAAATCAAAACGTGAACCACTGCTATAGGCAATGACAGTACCGGGCTCTGCAGCTGGAACTAGAAGAATTGGATTTAAAGTGTGTGGCTATATAACGTATGAGGTACATACTCCGCAGTGTAAACTGTGAGTGTTACCCCTGATAAGATACTTAGTTCCCCATTCTCCAGTCTGTACTCCTCCCTCCACACTCTTCTATGCTAGAGGACCTTGCGGTGTCAGTCATGTGACCGGCTCCAGGGGTGGGCGGGGCTGGCTGTGCTGTGTTTACGCCGTCAGAATAAAAAAAAAACAGGGACCTGATTGAGAACTTCAGGTCCCCCCTCTGCTGATCTGATTGGCAGCAGCAGAGGGTGGGTGCAATAGCTAGTTTGCTATTGCAAAGTGAAATAGCCAATAGGAATCTAGCTATGCATTCCTATGGTGGTTAAAAAACGATCACAGGGAAAGGTTTACTCTGCTTGAGCAGAGTAAACCTTTCCGGGAGAAAGTTTCTCTCCCGGGTGGCTGGGAGCTGCTATCTAATAGCAGGAGACTCCCGGGTGACCCCTGGCAAATCGTAATTCGAGCCCCGACGTGACCCACAGGTTGAGAATCGCCGGTCGAATACTGTGTTTGAGTCATCTCTGCTGCAGGATCGAGGCTCGGGTGAGTATCGTTGTTTGGTCCCTAGAGGAAAAACAAGCAGTTTGCACTGAAACACCTAAAACCAGCCACTGCAGGGGTTAATTTTATTCTGCCAGAAGTCTGTTTTTTTTGTTTGTTTTTTTTTTACTTTATCTTAAACAGATGAATATATTGTAGTCTTGATTCTTGAATACTTGCCGTTAGTAGGGCAGGCCATTACCAGCACTCCATTGTAATCTTTTCTTCTGTTGCTTTGTAGGAAAAGCAATGCTGGTGCAAATAATGACACTGTGCGACAGAGGAACTCCAGCTGAGTTGCAGGTAAAGGCTCACTTTCCCATTTTAAATATCCGTATGTGAACCATTACCAAAAATTTAGTTTATGGATTACTCTGATGTAGATCGTCAATCATCTCTGAATTCATGCTGACACTGTCCTTCCTTCTGGAGGGTGGCTACTATTGTTCCCCATGGTCTCTGTGTGTTGTCAAGTAGCCACAGCTCCAAGCTCACTCCTGTGATAGACTACAATCTCAATACGAATTGTTAAAGTAAACATGAGATTCTAGTCTATAATGGAAGCAAGCGTGGAGCGGTGCCTACTTTCAACACACCACACACACTAGCCACCCTCTAGAAGGAAGGACAGTGTCGGCGCCAATTCAGAGAATTCTACAATCCACAGCCGAGTGATATACAAATAAAATACATTTTTGTTAAGTTAGGGTACTTGAATGTATTAAGATTTAGCTCCTGACATTAGTGTCACTTTCAGGCCCCGTTCACATTGAGCGATTTATCGCGTGGTAATTCCCGCGATATCGCGACTATTTACCGCGCGATATCGCTCTTCAATGCTTTGCAATGGGTCCTGCTGTCGTGTGTCGCTACAGCAGGACCCTTTTTTGGAGCGGATTTTGCCGCGATTCAATGGTTTTTGATGCAAGCATTTGCGCGATATCGCGCAAAATGCAAATCGCGCTCAATGTGAACAGGGCCTCAAGGTATGTATGTATTCATTCTCTGCTGCAGTCTGATCCAACCTGTCACAAGTTAATATTCCTGTTGGGGTTTTTTTTTTTTTCCCTTCTGCGAACCCTGAAAATAGCATTTAGTTAAAAGAGCCCTTTACCCCCTTTCTACTAAGGCTCTGCATGCTGATTTTAAAATCCTCTTACATTCATTAGTTGGACTCTTATTTGTAAGTAAATGGAAAAACTAGTTATCTACTTGCTGGTCTAGTTCTGGCACATATGATGTAATGTGCCAAAGCATTGCATCCTGGGAAGGTTACATCAGCAGAGCACTGCTGGGAAATCTCATCTGTAATCTCACGAGATCTCATGGAAAGGCATTTTCCTGCCCTGAGTTGATGTGCATGGTCACGCATTCCAGAGTTCCAGCAAGTAAAGGGAGATCTAGTAACCTGTCCTTAGTAAAAAAAAATGTCCACTGTCAGAAGACTGGGGAGGAAAAGAGAAATACGGTATGCAAAGAATACAAAGCCGGCAATTATCTAAGGAAGTATGTGTTTGTAGATTGTCATTACTAATCCCTTCTAAAGGTGTCTATTTAAAGATATGGGTAAAGGTCTACTTTAAGGGTTATGTGTAAGTGCCTTGTGCCAGTGTATATTTTATTGGGTGTTCTTTTTATAAGACAAATTTAAAGCTTGAAATCTGAGGGGGTTTTTTGTGTATTTTTATTCCCCAAGTTGCATTATTTATAACTTCAAATGCATTCAAAGCTCAAACAGTAATGTCCAGTAATAATACTGCCTGGTTACAGTATTTTTATTAATGTATCCCTTTTTATATACCATTACTTTGTTTGTTTCGCCCTTTTCTAAGACATGCTACTGCCTAGCATTTTGGATTGAGCTTTCCTGCTTCTGTCTATAGTGAAGGGCTATCAAACTGTATTATTCACAAGCATGGACCTAAATGCATTTAAAATTTGATTAGAGTTCACTATGCATAAAAATGTAATTAGGTTTACCAGAAAAGGCTGCAGCATGGAGAGTGCCAGTGGTGTGTTGATGGTCACATAGTCAGATGACAACCTTCTTTATGATATTTCCATGTTAGAGCACTTGAAAGGGAACATGCACATGGGTGGTATACCTGTGGCTTTGCCCCTGGCATGGTTTCAGCTTAAGAATAGAAGCTGCTGCTTCCTTTGATCACCTACATATTTTTGATGGCTGCATCTGCTGTGGCCACAGGGGCCTTTGTAGTTCCTGACTGTTAGGGTACATGTACTTTGAGGTCGCATACAGCACATGGCAATTAAATCAATTTTTTATTTTTCTTCTGACTTGCAGGTGAAGACTACTACACTTAGAACAAGCTCTGGAGTTTTGCACTCAGTTCATTGGATTCCCTGTCCCGTGACCTTCCAATTATAATTGACAATTCCTCTTGTGTTTTTATGTATTTTCTGTGTAATACCTAGACAATTGGCTTGACACATAAGCTATACTGCAGGATTTGATGTGCATGTGGTTCTAGTTTTGCTGACGGGCTACTTGTTCTAGATACTGGTGTAATAGTTGGCAGAAATTATGAAGGCTTCTGGTGCACAAAAAAAATTGATAGGTTCCACTGTATCAATGCCACCTTTTCTCTAATTGATTCTGTGAGTTCTGTGACCTATACAATTTCCTAATGTTAGATATTGGTTTTATTTTGTTATTTTGTATGTGTTCCAGACTATTACAGAAAACATGCTATGTGCATGCAAGACTTGACTGTTTTTTACTTTTCTGTTTGCGTGAAAGGAATAAAAACTTTTGACACAATCTGATGAATAAGTTATGGAAAGTTTGACACTGGATTGTAAATTTGTGTCTGCAAAGAAACCTCACCAATAAAAATGTCCCACTTTTATTTGTTCAGTTCTTATTTCTTCATATTGCATGCAAGACCTTTAACATAGTACAAAACCCAGCCATGTCCTTATGTTAATCTACAATCTTCACATCTCATTACAATACTCAGTTCCAAGGCACTCTTCACACCTCCTTTACTTGTTTACAGCAATAAAAGCATCCTGTTTGTTAATATAGGTGTAGGTTCCTTTTCCCCAATAAAAATTGTGGCGTTAAAGATCTTAACACCTTCATGACTGGAGATGTACACGTACATTCCCAGCATAGGGAGTGCCCAAATGACTGACTGCGTACACTGTATGTGATCAGCTATTTGAAGCTTTTAAAAACTGGTAACTGCTCAGATTAGCAGTTACTGTTAATTAATGGATGCCTGAGGAATCCATTAATAAAGGAATTAAGCTTTTACAAATACTAAATCGCTGACAGCGATCAGGCATGTGACAGTGACAACAGAGCCGTGAATGGCTCTGCTATATCAGTGATTTGACATGTCTGCACAGATTGGAATCTGTTTTGACAGCTCTGTACAGATCTGTCTACAATGTTTCATTTTGCTACACATTTCTATCATTGTAATAAAAACATTGCCTCAGACTTCAGATTGTTCTAAGAACATCAGAACTCTTTTAGTGACATCTGACTCTTGACATGCTGCAGGATCAGTGTCACTATGGTTATTATTGGCTGTTCCTAATTTTTAAGCAGCCGAATAACCCAGAACTAAAAAAAAAAATCAATTATCAAGCAGTCAAAGTGGCTGCTTAATGGATAAAAAAAGTGGGGGAGGGGAGAAGAGTGTAAAATGAAAATTTAACAAAATATTATATACAAATCTATTTATCTTATTATACAAACTAACCCCTTACAATGACAATCTGCAGCTTTGTTGCCCCGACAAAGGCGTTGGTAAAAGTATCTTGCTGTCACTGCATGAGTTATTGACACTCGGTTACCATGTAAGCCACCTAAACTAACCACTACTAGGTTTTAGAGAAAAAAAATGTTAGCTTTTTGTTTTTAGGCCCAGAAGTACAAAAACATTTCTCAAATTCTAGGGATGAGGTGTTTCCAAATGACTTCTTCTGTACTATTAAAAAAAATAACGGAGAAGGGGTTTTCTCCTATTTTATATTTATCCTAAGCAAGGCCTTAGGCATACATGTGATATATTGCCCTATCTGTTCTCTAATATATAATGTGTGGGTGCAGTTGGTAAGAAACTATATTACTTCCGTGGAAGAATCGCACAGCAAAACTGTAAAGAGTGCATCAGTCATTAAGGAAGATAAAAGGGAAAAAGCTCAGCCATGAAGGGGTTAACATCCATTGCAAGTCAATGGACTTAAAGGTGAGGACATCAGCGCACTTAGACCTTCAGATCCCAGAGGAGAAGAAGCTACGAGGACCAGCCTAACCATCAGGTATTTTTAGTTTAGACCCTAGACCAGTGGTGGCGAACCTTGGCACTCCAGCTGTGCCAAAACTACAAATCCCAACATGCATCTGCATCTGGGAGTTATGTCTGTGGCTGTCAGAGCCTTGCAATGCCTCATGGGACTTGTAGTTCCAAAACAGCTGGAGTGCCAAGGTTCGCCATCACTGCCCTAGACCAAAACGAGCAGTTAACCCTTGCAGTGCAGACGTAGCCCCACTGCATGGTTTGGGTTGTAATTTGCGCGTAGTTCTTAAAGAGTGTAGATTCAAAATTTGCCTACAGACAGGAGATGGTCCTAATAGTCTAATTGAAGATGAGGGAGGTAAAGGAGTTAATGTAAAGATCACTGTAGCGATAGAATGGAGCTGATATTCAGGAGGGGAGGGTGAAAGGGTTAAACTATCCACGATCTTTAATATCTGCTGCTTTTGATCTGGAACTATTGAAAAGTTACTATTCTCACACCCCGTACTCGCCAGTATAAACATTGTCATGCGATTTTCAATTAATGGGGATCATGAGGCACAGAGTCAGTCCGATGCCTTCAGCTGATGCTCTCCTTTCTGACAAGAGGATGTACCTCAGCGCCCTGACCATCTTTAGAATATGAATTTAAACACAAAATAGAAGAGAGCTGTGATGTGTGCATCCCTTTAGGTGAGAATGAATCAGAGAAATTATCATGGCAACAAAAGAAACTACAATTTCTAGTAGAAAATAACATTTGTGTGTAAGTTTTATGTATACTATCAATAAACCAGAAATCTTTCAGGTTGCCATATTGCAAAGAAGATATATATAGAATAGAAAAAGAAAACAGAACAGCCAGAAAATACTGTTGTGAATACTACCAAAAAAGAAGTAGCAATGAGGAATCCTGGCAAATGGGACTCTATATTGGATGGTTGCTCTGCAAGTAAACAAAAAAGGCGCAAACAATCCACCAAGGGAGGTCGAAACCCAGGGAAGCCTGGAAAGAATGTGTCGTAATGGCAGAGCCAGCCAGAAAGGTAGCATGAAAGGGCCCATTGAGGACATAAGGCTTGCTAATGTTGGCCAGGAAGAG